GAAGGGGACGTTCATCTAGGGCGACCTTTGGATAGAGATCCCCAGTCTGTCTGCCTGAGGATACCCATGATTTTTTTTCCCCATGAATATTTACTGAGTGCCTACAACATGTGCACAGTTTTATAGACTCAACGCAATCCCTGCCCTCCAGGATCCTGCCCGCTCCATAGTGCCGTCACCGGGACGGAGGTCGGTTCAAGAAATGACAAAATCACTCTGCGTTCTCACCACCACCAGCCCCACCCCGGTGGTCAGTTCATTTGGAACCTGATGTAACAAGTCTCCCGCCCTGACTCAGACTCCTCGGGTAATGAACACGTGACCTGAGGCTGTGGGGATCTCCTCAAAGCCAGCACACATCCTGAAAACCTTCACCAGAACCTTTACCGGAGGTTTCCATGTCTTGGGGGTTCACGTGTCTTTTGCCGCTGAAAGATGACCTCAGTACATTCTTCTTTTCAAGTGAGCTGCTAAAATCCTTCTGAGGAAATCCTTTACCCTCGCGGGCAGCAGGAGCCGGGTTTTGCTAGGAGGCCAGCAGCACTCGCCCCCGGGGGGACCGAGGCCGTGAGCGGGAGGCGGAGACGAAGGCCGTCAGGGAACATCCTAGTGTCTCAGATATTCCCATCTCTGTTTTCCATCTTGTGGGTCTTAACGACTACTTTAGAGGCTCTTTCTCTGGGCATTTAAATGAGATGTTCATTTTTTTCCTTCCTGATTTAGTCATTCAGGACATTGAGTGAGTTCTGGAGTGCAGTGACAGCTCTGTCATGTAGAACCAAACAGAAAGAGGTTGATTTTTTTCCCTCCTTGAGACTTATTTTCAAAGGGGCTTTTTTTCCCCTCCAAATAGTCCATTATAAGGTGTCGTCACCTCGCGGAATGGGAATGAACTAGATTCTGAAGGAGTCGGTTAAGCCTTTCTGATGAAGATGAATAAATGACCCCGGTGGTCAGTTCATTTGGAACCTGATGTAACAAAATGCAAACTAACATTTATCGAGACGTAATAACTTATTATGTTCTTATTTGCCAGATTCTTGGCCTCAATACTTTATGATTTATTATGATTCATGATCTTGTTGGAGCCTCGATGTAAGAGCGTGACGAATGGGCTATTAACAACCCGATGTCACAGTTTAGAGAAGCGAGGCTCGTCAAGACGAACTAAGTTGCCCGAGGACACAGCTGGTAAGTGTAGAGCTGGGTCTAATCTAAATCGTGATGCAAAAAGCATCAGAACCACTTCTTGGAGTTTCCCTGGCTAAGATGAAGCATTATTTTTAAAAAAAAAAATCAATGAGCCTCTCCTACTTGGCCATGTTTGTTGACTGGAGATGGGGCCAAACGCCTTTGTGCCGCATCTGTCCCAGAAGGCTGGGATGGGATTTGAGCCTGGCTTTGCAGTGTCAGGTTAGTGGGAATGTCATGTGATGTGATGGACAGGACCCGACATTGGTGCCACATCTGACCAGGATTCCACTGTCCGTGACAAAGGGACAGTCCCAGGGAAGGGACTGGAATAGGCTCCATGCCAGGAAATGAAGAGTTAGCCTCAGGGTTTTAAGAAACACTTTTTGGAAAATAGACTCAGGGGGGCCGGTATTTCACACTTTCCAGTGGAAAGATGAGGTCAGTGTTTCATCCTTGCGTCAGCCACGAGGTGCTCAGCTGTCTGACTTTGGCTAACTGCTTTCCTGAGCGTCCACATCTGTAAAATGGCATCATATGTACTTGCCCTGGAGCCGGCACCGAACAAATATGCTCAGGAAACGACCGCTACGTAAGGAAATCAATGGATAAAGAAGAAATGAAGGGAGCCAAGCAGGGATTGGGGGCGTCTCTGAAAGATGGACCCTTGAGAGAAGAGTCAAGAGAACAGTGTTTATTCAGGGCGTCACTGTCCCAGTCACTCCTAATTCTCTTCAACAGCTCTTTGCCTTTACAGAGCATCTGGATGTGAATCATCTCATTTAGTTCTCCCAGAACCTCTGAGGTAGACACTTCCTTACCCCGTTTGACCAAGAGGCTCAGCACAGATAGAAATGACTGACGCACCTGCCACGAAGTGGCTGTGGTCTGACCGGTGGAGTCCACGGA